AATTACACTTCATCATCTGAAGCTCTGTGGAATTCTTTTGAATTCCTGCTTTGGAATTTTCTGGAAAGGTGCAGATTCAAGAAAGAAACTTTAACATAATGGCTCTTGGTAGTTTGTCAGACTTATCATACTACTGTTATACTTGGTGGGACATTACGCGAATCAAACTAACCTGAAACACCATTATGGAGTAAAAACTCCAAAAATAGTTGTATGCAGAGTATTTTATTGTTGGCTAGGTATGACAAATTTATTGAACACGAATATTAAGTTGTCGTCATCAAAGGTTGAGTCTTCGTTAACTTCAACATTCTGTCAGAGTGCAAAATGATATTTCTTGTAGATGGCACTGATCAAAAAATGTTACTTGAAAAAATGAGCTTAGTACAGACATACGATAGATAACAAATTTCTGTTTGGTCAATATCATTTTCCAGCACAGCTTTAAACAAACACAGCCGTTTTTAATCGGTCGCTTCCGGCTAACATTTTTTTAATGAAACGTCAAAAAATGTCGCTTGAAAATGTAAACTTAGAACGGACAGGAAATAGATAACAAACACGAATCCTCTACGTCATTTTCCAGCATGACTTCAAACTAGCACGGCCGTTTTCGAAGACATCGGCCGCTCCCGGCCATCGAGGGCACTAAATAAAAATAATACCGTAATACCGGCATTTTGCCATCAATACCGGTTTTTAATACCGGACAAAAATTTTAAAAGATCTACCGACTGTTAAAGTCCTGCTACAAAAAACTGAAATACCCTGTATAGACTCCCATGGCGGAGTTATAGCAACTGCAGTAACTTTGTACTTGAATGACGATGAGCATTGATGCTTTGCACCACTTTCCTATTATAAAACAAATACTTTTAAAATACAACACGCCTCTTCCTTCCTCTGCGCCAGTGGAAAGACTTTTTTCCTTTGCTGGAATTGTCAATCGATCTACAAAGCAAAATCTTGCTGACCGTAATTTTGAAATGTTGGTGTTAAAAAAGCAAATAAATAATGAATTATGTTTTCTTACTTTTATAAGGCATAATTAGAAGTCTCTACTCAAAAATATGGTTTATTTTGAATACATTTCCTTATACTGCTTCAGCTTATATAGTCTTACTTTTATTCTTCAAGAAGCAATGTTATATTACTGAATAATAATGTTAATTACCACTAAAGGTTTTCACTATCACTAAAGATTTAGTGATAATGTAATTTTTTTTCACTATCACTAAATATTCAGTGATAATGAAATTCGTGTTTTAAGTACCACTGAAAAAGTAGTGGTAGTGAAACGCTTATTGCATTTATTTTTTACTGCACTATGCCCAACCTTGATCTAGATGTATTTAAATTTGCAGCAATATTGGAGATGTTTGAATGCGGATTTTCCTCTCGGTTAACAGGATATCCAATTGACGGTCTTCATTTAAGGCCAATGGAGTTCCAGTCTTAGATTTATCTCGTACATGAAAGAAATTTACTCTCAATTCGACTTATTGTCGATAGTGATATTGGAGTACGGTTTGGATGATTTACGTTAAACAATGCACGGACTTCATTATACGTTTGGACTCTATTTCCGAAACTAACCATTCTAAGAATCTCGATTCTTTCATTTTCAGTAAGCGCCATTATTACTTTCTTACTTATCGTACAGTCAATAATTAAAAAATAACCAATAATAGATAAACAATAAGATCAAATAACAACAAAAAAATAACAACGAATAGCGATGAATAGCAACAAGTAACAACGAATTACAATGAGTAACAACAATTAACACAAGAAACTCCACAATACTACTCAAAATAATCTCATTAACGCACAATAAACTGTTTCAAATCGAATTTTGACACTTGGAAATTTTAAATCAAAACAATTGGTTGCCATGGTTACGCACTGCTACTACTATTTTTTATATCAAAGAATGGGAAATAATGAAACTTTAAATTAATTTTTCTCGAAAACTTTTTTATGTAACCGATATTACTAGAAGAAGAAGAAAACAATATTTATTTGGACTTGTATAAAAATAATAACAAATACGAAAAGAAATACATATATAAAACAAATATAAAAAAAAGAGTCCAAAAGGGCTATAGACCTTAGTCTTCCTGCCCGTGGCTTTGAATTCGGTTTGGTTGTATTTAGGTCTTCTCAGTTGGGTCTTATCTTTTTAAGCAGTGTAAGCCGTGTTATGGGACAGTGGGTAAGGGAGAGGGGAGTGATGATGAAATTTTGTAGGGCGTTTTTGGGGAAGTTCATAGTTGCTTTAAGGGATAAGGATTGTAGACGGGAGTTTATAGGAGGAATCTTTGTAAGATCGTACAGGAGTTCGTTGGAAGGGTTGAAAAGTGGGTTGTGAGGGTGTCTAATGCGAGTGATAATTCTCAGGGCTGCTCTCTTTGCTACTTCCAGATGGTACTGTGATCCTCTCGGCGCTTCAGTCATGATTAATGAGGCATATTCGATAATAGGTCGGCATATTGCGGTGTATATGTGAGTAGCGCATTTGGTGGATATCCCTCGGCCTCTATATGAGAGTGAGCGGAAGTGTTTGGCGCGGTTTTTGACTTTCATTTTTATCTTGATGGCGTGGGTAGAGAATTTAAGGGTTCTATCCAAGGTAATGCCGAGGTAGTTACAAGTTGGTGAAGCTGTTATAGGAGAAGATTGAATTATTATTGTGGGAGGAGCAACGCGAATAGGGAGGAAGGGGATGAAGAATTGGGTTTTGGAAGGATTTATCAGGATACGCCATTTTCGGTACCATTCCTCTATGTTTTGGATGAGCGTCTGCAGCCTTAGGATTGATGATGGAATGGCTACATCATGTGCGACGAGAGTAGTATCATCGGCATAAAGTAGGGCGTAAGACATCGGATCGAAGACGTCTGGGTTGTCGTTGTAGATGTCATGGCAATAGACGTTGTACAGTGCTGGCGAGATGGAAGAGCCTTGAGGGAGACCTTGTTGAGCGGTGAAACTGTGAGAGTAGTAGTTCTTCACTTTAACCAATGAGGAGCGGTCTGAAAGAAATTCTTTTAGCAGGTTAAGAAGATAAGATGGGATTTTCAACATAGCTAGCTTGTCTATTGTGTTTTTGTTGTGAGGGCAGAACAGGGCCTCATTGCTGAAGGAAAACACCCTCTCAAGGTATTCAGCGTGGATATTTACGATTTTTTCCGGACTAGAGTATCAGCAGCCATCCGTAGGGTCAATAAGCTCCTGGGTTTCTGGGGACTTTTGGTACTTCGAAAGTTTGCGGACTTCTTGCCAGTAGTTTTTACCCTTGCTTCTGTTGATTTTATCACAGGCCTCAATGAATTTTTCACTTCTGAATTGCTGCACTAGCTTTTGGATATTTTTATTAAGCTCATTGAACATTCTTTTCAGAGCAGGGTCTTCATAGGATCTAAAATCGCGGTAGAGTCGTCTCTTTTCTTTAATTAAACGGAGAATAAATGGTGGCAGAGGGAAATTGTAATATTTCTTGTTGTAAGAAGACTCGGGTGTGATAACAGGGTTAGATCTCACATATTCCTTTATTCCTGCGTTCACTCTTTCCATATTACAAAGTTTATAGTTTTTGATCAGAGTAGGAGCTACTTTAGGTATTCGAGTGGTTGTATTAATGCAGATCACAAGACCCAGATGGTCAGAGCACAGATCAGGAATGACATTAACAGACGTGATGAGCGGTCTTATGTTGTTTGTGCAGAAGATTAAATCAGGCTTGGAGTTGGGATTATTTGCCATTACAAACGTCGGAGGTGTTGCGATGCGCACAAAATTTGACATATTCACAAATTGATTGATGTGTCTGTTTTTGGCTGGGTTTGGGTTAAAGTCACCGATTATTAGACAATTGTCGTACCGTGCAGCCATGTTAAATATTGTTTCTTCTATCTTGCTAAAAGGATGTATATAAACCAACAATATATGTATTCTTTCTGTGCCAATCATAAAAGTAAAATGGAGGGCGTTGTTTAGTGGAGAATTTATTCTGGGAGGGTTAGCTTTTCCAATTTGTAATGCAGGTCCGCCCATAACCACCGCTCCTCTGACACCCCTGTTCACAATATTTCCCAATTCTTGGATCATTGTCCAATCCCTGAAGTTAATTGGCCCGATATTACTATTTATTGTACATAATTAAGAAAGAAACTCTCTTTCAAATTTCGATATAAAAAATGGGGTGTTCCATTTAAAAAAACTTCGATGACGTTTAAAAATGGCGGAAAAAATTAAAAATATTCACCAAAAAATTGCAAAAAATTTAGATCTTTAAACCCATTTCAGCGATTTTTTCATAAATTGTTTATAATAATTTTATCGAATTTATCCGTTACTTTTGAAGCGCACTGTATAACAATCTATCGCTGAATAACAACTAAAACTAGTTGCATGATTATCAGCCAGTAACATTAAATCTTAAAACCTGTTTTTATCTCGAAAAAATTAACCTAAAAATAAAAAAAATCATTAAACTTAAAATAAATTTAAATCTTAACAATGAAATTATTACAAAAATAGAATTTTCAAGTCATAATAGATGTCATTATCTTCAATTTAATTTAAAATATCTTCTTAATGTTCAATAAATAACTCTTCAAATTTGTTTAAACTTTTAAAATGACATTTAATTCAATTGCTAAAATATGCCGGTAAAGTAGATAACGATTAACTATCACCAATTTTTAAATCAAAGCTTAATAATTAAACAATAATTATATTAAACTAATTTACTTCTATTTAAAAATAAATCCATAAACAAATTAAAACATTAATTTATGAAATTAAATTAATCTAATTAATTTAGTGAAAAACAAAATGTCACTAAAATTAATCCACAAATTTATTTACTTCCACATTTTATTAATTCAACTTCAATTATAATTATATACTTAATTTGGGCGTTTTAATCCATTAATATTAAATAAAATTGTAAAATATACGTAAAAGGAAAATTGTTATTGCAATAAACCATCTTCTTTATCTGTCATGATCGACCCCAATCTGTCAAAAAGTAAATTTTTCTTAACATTTAAAACATAAACCAACATAAAACCAAGATAAAATCAGTACGATAAGCAACAAAAAGCACAGTTTTATCATATAACAGTGTGTTTTGTTAATAAAAATTCTTTGGAGGACCAAAAATCGACTCTCCACCGCATATTTTTAGGTTAGGTTGCTTGTCATTGTCCATAGGATTAAATTTTAAAGTGATAATTTAACATTTAAAAATGGATGTGGATAATAATGCGGATGGAACGGGAGGTGGAGGTATTGATATTGAACAGAGCCTCCTCCAGCAGTTTAGTTGTATGGGTACGACGGATCGGGAGGAATTGGTTCAACAGTTACAAAAGGTTTTGGGGAGTCAGTTAAATTATTCAACCGCTGCATTCTTTTTGGATATGAACAATTGGAACTTACAAGCAGCGATTTGTTCATACTTCGATGTAGAAAATCCCCAAAAATTACCATCAATGGTTTTAAATTCCGATCCAAAAGCGAGTGAATCAGAAAGCATTGAACCTAATAATAGGTATATTTTGAGAGATTATTATGAACTATTCTTTATTAATTAATAAATATTTACACATAAGGTTTCATAAAACTTGGAGTATAACAAATAACGGATTAGAATCTTGGCCAACAGGTTGTTATATACAATGTGCGGATGGTGATTGTTTAGGTGGTGAAAGAAAATTAATTTCTGCATTACGCCCCGGAGAAAACGGAATAATTACTTTAGAAATGACCAGTCCATCAACGCCTGGAGTTTATCAAAGCAAATGGAGGCTTTGTACCCCAACCGGAACTTATTTCGGAGGTTAATTAATCTATTTTTCTCATAAAATACAAAAATTATATTTAATACTTTTAGATCCAATGTGGGCGATTGTAACTGTTGTTGAAGAAGGTACGATGGCAGTAACACAACAACTTCTTGAATTACACGAATTAGGATCAACACCTGGTCAAATAAACCCTCCAAATCCATTTGTACCACAATCGTTACAGCATTTACAAGGCGAATTTTCTCCAGATGATTCAAATATGTGTTGATGATGAGTGTAGACTTTTTCCTTTTTTTTTTGTGTGAACGGTGGGGTTAATGAATATTATAATGGATTTATTTATGACGATGAGTAGAAATATTTTAGTTTCAAGGGATTTCGTTTATGTACTATTTTTCAATCGGGCCTAAATGTTTTTTAGGCATTCAAAAAGCTCAATTTTCTATTTCTTTGTCTTTTAATGTCACGGAGATTGTTTCAAAGATGAATATAATGAAAATTTATGATAGATCTATCCTGTACATGTTAATTTCGTTACGGATGATGATGATGATGATCATTTCTAATGTGTAAAGTTCAAAGAGAAATACATATTTTATATTTGGATGTGATTATTTTATAACCTCACTTAAGGGGGGAAATTCATTTCAAGTCAAAAATGCAAAATTTTGTTCTTTGTTTTCAAAAAAAGTTGCCTGAACATCTTAAGAATGTGATAGCAAAAGTTTAGAGCAAAATTCTAAGTACTTCTGTCAAAATAGCATATTTTCCCGGTGCGCGTTCTTCGTGAATATATGGACAGCGTTATACATCATGTACAAACTTATATCATGTACAGGGTGTCCAAATTTCGATGGGTTTGCAGGGTATCTCAGTTATTATGAAAGATAGAAAGTTGCGGTTTTCGCGAACCTGAGCTACTTTTTTGTGAAACTTACAATGCCGCAAACCAAATTTTCATAGACCTCTTCGTTTTTGATATACAGGGAGTATTTCAAAATTTACGATTTTCAGACACCCCCCGTATCTCGGCTATCCGGAAACTTAGTAAAAAAGTAAAAACGGGTTCTAATAGATTTTTTCACGGAGAATCCAATGGTGCACGTAGAATTTTTCTAGTCATCACGGTTTTTGAGTTATAAACACAATTCAAATACTGAATACTNGCTAAAACCAAATTTTCCTTGACGCTCCCGCTCAATTACAATATGTTGGTTTTCTTGATGCCAATGCCTGTTATTATGACGATTATAGATTCCTGTGCTGGTAAAATATGCCTCATCAGACCATATAATAGAGGAACTAAATTCAATATTATTTTGTGCATGGTTCAAATACCAGTTACAGAATTCCAAACGTCGTTCGGCATCTCCCGGGTGTAAGTGGTGAACTATTTGTTCTTTGTAGGGTTTATATTTATACTTTTTTAGAATCGCACAGGCTGTCGATTTTTTAATTCCAACTTGACATTCAATTTCCCTACATGATGTTTTAGGCGCGGCTTCCACACATCCTAACACGGTAATTTCATTGTTATTCCGATTTTCTTTATTATATTTTTTTGGCCTGGGCATCAAAAAACTTCCATAATTGATCAAATTACGCTTTATTCGCAAAAAAATTTTTGAATTTGGTTGCGCTCTTTCTGGATATCTGAAGTGAAACAATCTGCTAATAAAATGTTATTGCTGATAAATGTTGCATTCTACCTATTTATGTATAATTCAGCAGCTTGATTAACATTTTCATTTGCATGAATGTAACATGCTAGCATGTCATATTTTTCATAATTTTCATAGCGCTCCATTTCAAGAAAAAGATAATTAAGTTAAGTTAATTAAAGGTAATTAAGTAACACACGACTTATTGTTAGCACAAAATTCAAAATTAAGTTTGACAGTAATTAACTATATTTACTTTGTTTATTCCGGTATCCTAGCAACGCGATCACTTAATAGACAACCTAAGCCTTGACGTAACAGAGATGGGCGGAGCTTATATCGACTCCAAACATTTTCATAGCTAAGTGTGTTGCTAACGGTAAATCACCATATGCAATTTTTCAATTAGTGTTCAAATAAAAGTCACTTAGTTTAGACTTTTTATGACATTTCAAATGACATTTTTATTACGGTTTATCATTAGCAACTGTGGTTAGCAACGAAATTGTTTGGAGTCGATATAAGCTCCGCCCATCTCTGTGACGTCAGGCTAGGCAGTCTATTTATCATTGCCTACTTATAAAATAATGTATTTTATTCAATTTCGAGGTTAATTATAAAGGTAAGTATAGAGTATTATATATCATTGAAAAGCTTGACAAAAATCCAGTTCAATAAAAAAATAAAATATAGGTGGTTCCATTTAAAAAAACCTAAGTTGTGTTTATAACTCAAAAACTGTGATGACTAGAAAAATTCTACGTGCACCATTGGATTCTCCGTGAAAAAATCTATTAGAACCCGTTTTTACTTTTTTTACTAAGTTTCCAGATAGCCGAGATACGGGGGTGTCTGAAAATCGTAAATTTTGAAATACTCCCTGTATATCAAAAACGAAGAGGTCTATGAAAATTTGGTTTGCGGCATTATAAGTTTCACAAAAAAGTAGCTCAGGTTCGCGAAAACCGCAACTTTCTATCTTTCATAATAACTGAGATATCCTGCAAACCCATCGAAATTTGGACACCCTGTACATCACTTGACTAAGCGACATTTTATCGTTTTTAGAGATTTTCATGCCGTCTGGTAGGTAAAGGTGTAACTTATCTTAACTGACCCTTCCACGATCAATAATATTGACAATAACTTAGCATATTGACAATAATATTGACAGTGTAATGCGCCTTTCACACGATCAATATACAGGTGTGTTAAATGTCTGGAATGTAGCCAATAACTTCGTCATTTGTGGTTTAAAAAAAAATTTTTCAAATACAAGTATCATTATTAATCGTGGCGTATTTTTTGTCGGTATTTGCTTGTTTGTATTGTTTTTGTTTCGTTGCTATGGCAACCAATATTATTATTTTAAATGGGATGCATATGTTTTTTTTGCATACTTTGATAAAGGATAAGTCTCTATACAGGCTGTCCGGTATCTTCCGCATCAGAGCATTATACGGTTGTAGGATACATTATTCTGAAGCGATCTTTCTAATAAAATTTTTTCGATATGTTTATAATAACCGCACGGGAACTGTTTAAACGAACTGTTTTTCCTCCAATCAGCAGATCGCAATTCAGACTCGGGTAATCGGTGCTACCCTCGGCCAGTCCGCTACGCCGATAATAACTCGTTTCCCACGTGTACTCACCAATAGATTCGTCATGGAAAGAGAAATAAACTTTTTCGATGAATCAAAGTCGTCCGTTATTAGTCGTCGTTAAACAGTTCCCGTGCAGGTGTTATAAACATTTTTCGAAAGAATTTTATTAGAAAGATCGCTTCAGAATAATGTATCCTACAACCGTATAATGCTCTGATGCGGAAGATACCGGACACGCTGTATATCAGAGATGAGCAACATGCGGGCCGCTTGTGGCCCGTTAAACATGTTTATGCGGCCCGCCAAGCATTTCTAAAATTGAATTTATTTTATCGACTTTCTCCCATCATATACAGGATGCTCATTATGTATGGAATATCGTATATATCTTGGTAGGTATCAACTTAATAAAAAAACATTTTATACAAAAGTTGTTTAACATTTTATTTGCCATAATAACACAGCATTCAATTGTTTTTCTTTCAGAAAACAAATGAGCAACGAATAACACTTGAAGTCTTTTAAATGGCAATACACTTTTTCGTTAGGCTCATTTAGTAGAGATTTTTTTCTCTTTACGATGACGTAAAATTTTAGTACCCTTATATCAGAAAATTTTTGAAAAAGATGTAAAAATTGTTTATTAAGAAAATTTAATTAATAACATTAATCTAGATATCCGAGATCGTCAAGTACCTCGTAGTACCTCGAATTATTGGAAATGTACACTAATTTTTCGTTTATTTGTTTTATTTTGTATGCAAATTTAATTTACGTTAATAATTCGAGGTACTTGACGATCTCGGATATCTAGATTAATGTCATTGATTAATTTTTATTAATAAACAATTTTCAAATTTTTTTCAAAAATTTTCTGATATAAGGGTACAAAAATTTTACGTCATTGTAAAGACAAAAGTAATCTCTATCAAATGAGCCTAACGAAAGGGTACATTGCCATTTAAAAAAATTCAAGTGTTATTCGTTACTCATTTGTTTTCTGAATTAAAAACAATTAAATGCAATCTTATTATGGCAAATAAAATATTAAACAACTTTTGTATAAAATGTTTTTTTATAAAGCGAACATTTACCGAGATATTGTAGTAATTCAGACTGATACGAATATCTGATCCATATCCATTCCAAAATCTTATTTTCAAAATTCACCGATAATGATAAAGACTTATTTAAAACCATATTCCTGAAATTGAAGAAATTTAAACAACAAATCGATACAATTGGAAAAACGAAAAGGAAAACATTTAAAATATTTTGATCGACATTGTATGTCATTCCGAAATTCTACATAAATTATCTTTTGACGTATCTTATAAACCTAAATTTGAATTATTTTTGAAATAATCCAAGATTGCCAGAACTTAGTCGCTATGCATTTTGATAAAAAAATTGAAGAACCGACGCTTAAAAAAATAACAAACAATCCAAAACAATCAGAGTTATTTTTGAGAATTTAATTTCGATTTAGGATATTCAGTCCGAGTTAACAACATCACATGATATAAAATTTAAGCCCGTATTAATAATTAAACAATTTATTAACTTATTAATTTTTTTTTATTTTTCTTTTTTTAATTAAATTGGTCTTTTGAACTGAATCCACAATTGAACCCTGAAAAGAACTTTAATTCGTCGATATATATATTTCTTCCATAATTAGTACCAATACAATATATTCTATATTCCATACATAATGGGCACCTGTATTGTTATAAAATTAATTATAATAAAATGGTAGTACAACCGGAACAATTGTTTGTGACGTGTCACACAATTAGTCAGACTGGTATGCTTTTAACTAGCAATTTTAGCAATTCTTGTGTTTCTTGAAAGGTGTGAGTGCAATATTATTGTCAAAAAGGTAATATTAGAGTTTTTTTACTTTCAAATTTTTAATCCATAATAGCATGTCGGAAAAGCAAACAAAAAAACGGAAGGTTGCGGATGAGCACAGGCATTTTCAAGAAAAGCGGAAATTTGATAATTTTTTCAGTTTCGTCAAAGATAAAGCTGTATGCTTAATATGCTCAGAGACTGTGTCGACATTAAAAGAATATAACATAAAAAGGCATTACGACACAAAACATGAACAACAATATAAAAACTTAACAGGACAACTCCGGATAGATAAGTTTAATCAAATGGAAAAAAACTTGAGAAAACAATAGGCTATTTTTTAAAATCAAGCTATTTTATTAAATATGGCAGTAAAGGCTAGTTTTGTTGTCAGTCAAATACTGACAAAAAAGTGAAACCCTTTGCGGATGGAGAGATGATAAAAGAATGTTTGACTGAATAGCATTTCCTGACAAAATAA